TTAACGTGACAGAAAGCTATTATACGGATATTATCAAAGGCTTGAGAGTATAGTAAAGTAAGCGTACCTGAAACTTCTAATAAATAAAAATATATAACAAAATTTTGATAAATTTACGTATTTTTATTCGTTCATCCGAAAAATACACATGGGAATAACTGTGTTGTGTTTAGTTATATAATTTCCCGATTAAAACTAAAGTCCATGCCAAATTATCTCCTCATTTTGCATCGTATCCATTATGAACATCGTTCGATACAACCAGTATGTGTGTTTGTAAACTTTAACTATTCTATCTAACTAAATAGATGATTTATAGCTTGTCAGTCATTGAACTTAGTCTCTAGATTCGATTATGAGTACAATAGTCACTTCCTACTGCTTTATAATCCTAAATTAAAGCAAAACAATACGAGTCAGTTAAAAGTGTTGTTCTCAGTGAACGTCTTCTGAAATAATTGTCCCTTGTTTATTAGTAATTTAGTCTAAATGGTTCCTAGTAGAATATATAGGTAGGGACTTAAGGCTTGGAAGTTTAAGTAGCGATGCTGCTGATCGATGACAGGTGTAGGGTTGCTAGTCTTACGCCTAACCTTTTCACTTTTCTGGATTTACTACCGACTAAAAAGTCAGACGAGGTTTAGAAGTCTACCGGTCAGGAATTGAATACACACCTCTCATTATGCGTAGTTGGCGAGCATTCTACCGTTAAACCATCGACATACGATTCAAATGGAATACACTTTATAGAGTGATACTTAGATATCATAAAATAAAAGCTCTGCTCTACAATCTCTTTCATCACTGATACTGTGCAACCATAATTATTACTTTTTTAATAACTAACGAAAATAATGCTAATTCTTTTCTCTCGTGCTAACAAGTCGTGTAAAACAAAGCAAAACAAAAAGAAAGTTGACAATGAAATACATTCCAACCTTCTATTAATCTCAACTAACGCTTCTTCTTGCCCTGCCTTGCCTTGCCTTCTTTTCTTTTCTGCGCTTGCCTTTTACTGCCTCCTATTCCATAAGGAAGTAAACAAAGAGATTGTCTCTTTTTCTCGCTGTATTTTTCTATTTATTCATTATGACGATATATTACTCCTTCAAATAGTCATTAATCTGAAAAAAAGAAAAGAAGCAAGAGGTTCCCTTTCTGGTTTTCTACTTTTTTTTCCTCTTTCACTACAAAAAGCACAGTATGGCATTTATGTTTATGCTTTATGCTGTTGTACTGGCTTTTTGACGTTTCGTGCATAATTTGACAGGATATATAAGCTGTGATTTTATTGTGACAGAAGATCAACACAGTATGCAGTGATGTTAGCTAGCTGCCTTGACACACAAAAATACACATTAATGCGTATATTCGTATCTATCTATCTATATACATTACGGGTACTTAGCAGTGTACACAATCTACTGTCCTAATTTTATGTAAGAAAATGTATACATATATATGTCACGATTTTCATCATCATCAATCGAGTTAGTACTTAAGTATTCATCTAGATTGGGCCAAAATAAATAAGTTGTCTGTCATTTAGGTAAAATAGGGAGCTGTCACTAATTAAGTAGATTCTAAGATTATTTTCAATCATTCGACTTATTGACTGTTCAACTGACCGAAAATAATAAAAGCGCATGTTATTAATTTATTCGTTTAAGTTCCGAGTGGGTCATTGGCCTTCATGCTTCAGCTGTGATAGCGTTTCTTTTCATGGGGTGAAGTTATAAGTCTCACACCCAACCTTCCCTCTTCACCGAGGTCGTTATCAGCTAAATGAGGTTTAGGAGTGCATTAGTCGGGGATCGAACCCCGAACGACATCTGTGTGTGGAATATGAAAAGTCAGTTTTTTTTAAGTCGGAGAAATTCCAATGTCATTTCCTCTAGAAATCGATAGATAAAAAGTCATAATATAACCGTCAATATTTGCATTTTCAAACTTGAACTGTACTCAACAGACAGTGGATACTCATTCAAAGTTTTATCTTCGAGGGTACTACTTTTGTCGGTAGACTATTTTTAAACAGTATTTAGCGCATTATTTAAGTTATCTACAACAAAATAAGTCATTTAACTGTTCTATGCCTTATCATGTGTGGTTCACCGTAGGTTACAATGTATTACTTTTCATTACCTTACTCGCTTCCTCACCCTATTTCGAGATTGCAACAAACAGCATATATTGTAATGTGCAAACCAAATATGCCTTGACTGATAATAGACAAATAACTAAAGTAACCGATCCAGGAGTCTGACCAGCAAATCATACAGCGCAGGTAAAGAAATCGAACAGATAGAAGGAATATTGTAAATACCCAGAGGATAAACAGAAGTAACAATGAAAACCAGGGAGTACTACCAGACAGCTGTTTCATCCCACTAGTTTGGGAATCATATGCATTACGCGTCCACCGACTGGAGTTCGAGCCCAGGACGTTCCGGTTACAATGCAAGCTCGTATACCATTCAGCCACTGGGACGCGATTTAATGGCCAGCCTATAAACTCTAACTTCTACTAATTCGTGATTTAGCGCGACCACCAACTAATGTCATCGGTGGGAACTCTATCCTCACTCCCTACTGAATGAACAACAGTGATCACGACTTTTAACTAGAACTCCAGGAAACTCTGTCCTGCCGATGATTCCCAAACTAGGACGAAGCAGCTGTCCAGTACTCCCGGGTTTCTAAAAGTCCTCTAACTGATATCAGTTCGTGGTCAAACTCTTATTGACAAATCTAATCCTTACAAAACAAACTCCTAAGAAGTAACAATGACCATAATAGAATTTTCAAGGGACTTAGCCTGTATATTACTGCCACATAAATACTGGATAACAGAAATCTATGTTAGGCCCAGAAAAGAGATACCATCTGAATGTATACATCCACTCAAAGACAACTTTTGTTGGTTTTAGAACACAAATGACCTAACTTAAACAGAACAATTTAATTTAACAAATACTGTGTACTGATTTTGAGATCGGTGACATAGGTTAAATCAGTCGTTTGGAGCCAGTCAGACATAGAAATTTTTCGGAATCTAGAATGACAGACTCCACTAAGTTAAATAACAGTGGGGCTTAATCATTGCTATACATACAGTTGCATATTACCACACGATATGGTGAGACAAAGTAAAGTATTGAAAATTTAGGATAATTAAGTGGAGAAAGAATGGTTATGTGGTCATTTATTTCACGAAATCAATAACACCCAACACACGTAACAAGAATGATGATGATGATGATATCATTCCCGGTTATATGAACAGTTCATTAAGAAAGTAGGACGAAGTAGAACTATATTAGAGGAAGATAGGAAGTCAAATAAATACCATAATAATATAATAACGAGCATTAACTTGTGCTCCAGACATCGTCATCCTGTTAGCAATGGTCCATATGTATATATGGATATAAGGCATTATACTCTTTCCCAATGTCCAAATTCTCCTCCTATAATATTTTAAAATGTTGTTTTAGGCATTGATTAAAATCTTGTATATATTTATATATATTAACTGAGCTAATCCTTGGGCGGTTGACGCCCATCAGGTTTCTAGTTGTCATATATATATATATATATATATATATATATATATAAGAGGAGAATAAAGTGAGTGTAAATTTGAAGCAAGGACGAAATAACAAACCAAAGCATTAGGAGTAGACACTTCTATCATATATACATACATTGCAGCAATATTTAGTACTGCGACTACTTAGAAACACTAGAGTTATTTATACTTTTTTTCGCTTTCTAGTGGGCAGAGTTTTGTACTATGTGTTCTGAAGATTATTTCAGAGAAGGGCACTTCAGTACTTTCCTTTCTGTAGCATAATTTTGTAATGAGCTGATACTTTCCTTTTTGCAAGAAAAAACGAAGTTAAGAGACAGCAGACAAGTGGATTCCTGTAAATGCAGGAATACTATTGCTAAGTTTTTGTATTCCTTTGCGTTCCGAGTGGCATATAGGGCTTCAAGCCTGAGCTATGAAGTCTCAATAGCAGTGGTGTTTATTTTTTACAAGGTGGGGCTGCTAGTCTCACGCCCAATCCTCCTTCCTTCTTTAATGCTTTGGTTTACTGCCAGCTAAGTGAGGTTTAGGTGTGTATGCCAGTCGGGAGGATCGAACTCCAGACCACATGGGGTGTGGTGGTTGACGAGCATTCTTCCTCTGCATCACTGATGCCTGGTACAAATTTTGGCTTTACACAAGTGTATTTAAAACAATGTTACTGATGGTTCGCTTTCAGTAATAATTTATAAATCAACTGTCTAATTCTTCAACCTAAATGAGACACTATTTACTGACAAATATTTTCTTATTTTTCAACATGATTTCATCCTTCATTGTTTTCTTCATTTCTTACATTGTAAGTGGAATATAGGGCTCTAAGCATTTTCTAAGTTTTAACGGTAACAGTCTTAATCTTACGGGGTACGTTTGCTAGCCTGATGTCCAACCTCCACTCTTTTCCTAGTTTATAACAGACTAGATAAAGTTTAAGAGTGCGTTGGCGTGGAGTTAAACTCAGACCTTCTGCGTACATAGTTGGCGGAGCATCCAATCAATGAATTACTAACGCATCACTTTCTTATTATGTTTCACTAATTCACGTATTTCAGACGAATATCTTCTTAAGTTATTACGCTATTTATTATCTATATGATGTAAATTTATTAAAGTTTTACGTAATTCTTAATTTTAGATTCCAGTTTAAACTATTCCATAGGAACTTTTGTACACTTCTTGAAATGATGTTTGATACTATAAGATATTTCACTGCTGTGAATTTTATTCAGTCTTTTATTTTAAGCTGATTTTCATATATTTCCCAATGTAGACGCAACGGAACACTCTTATTGTTTGTATATCCTATTATACCTTATTTATATTTCACTGTAGGATATTTCAGTAGTATATATACATATATATTATCATTGTAAAGAATGAAAGTTCGAAATTTGTCTTCTTTTTACAGGATAACAATCTGGTACGACATTTAGATGCTTGTGAAACAATGGGTAATGCAACAGCTATCTGTTCAGATAAAACAGGTACTTTAACAACAAATCGAATGACAGTTGTTCAATGTTATTTCGGTGGGAAATTGACTCGAAACTCGGATGAGTTACCAAAGTTGAAAGATTTGAATCATAGAATTGGGCATAGATTAGTTCACGGTGTATCTATCAACAGTAGTTATACATCACGTATAATGGTAAGTTACCTTTTACCTTGATCAACTCCCTTGTTGTTATTAGTGTTTTTCCTATAAAAAATACGAAGATTTAACTTTTTATTTAGATTCTGATGATACTTTTTTACAGCTAGACAACTGTCTTATTCTTTGAAAGCCATTACTGATTCGGCTCTCTGAGCTAAGTTAAATCAGGTCCACTGCTGATGAAATCAGTGACAAACGAGTGAAACGTCCGTTCGGTGGTTAGATCACTTCGATCTGGCTGACAACCACTACTGGTTGCTCTGGGTGGCATTCAACTACCAATTGGTCTTAATCAGTAGTACATACTTTTGCGCATTTATAATTTACCATTTCATAATCTTTGAAGGTAAACGTATATACTTCGTTCTAACTCATCTTGATAAACTCAGGAGTGAATAAATTAATTAGATCTATATGCGTTACACCGTAATGCACAAACCTCTAAACCTTATTCATAGCTGTTGGTGACTATCTCAAAGTACTTAAGATTTTTATTTATATATCAGCTCTGCGGAGTCCTAAGAAAACAAGAAGAATTTTCAAGTGTTTAGTTGCAGGGATTCGGCTATGTTTAAGGTAGATTGCGTCAAAAATTGACGTCAGTTAGAGGACCACTGAACCTGTAGACGTGCACTGACGAAGAGTTTCAAACTGAAACGGAACAGCTATCCCATGTCCCTTGGTTTTCATGTGTAAAGATAACCGGAAGATTAGTAGTTCAGGTAGATGTTTTTTCTCCGGCTGTAACCTTCGAGCTGGGTGGTCTAATTGCAGAGCTCCTATTTTCCTTCTGTAAAGCATCTTCACTAAATATCTAGCTAGCTAGTATCATAACTCATGACATAAAATACCAGCATATGTAAGTTGTCTTCTGCGCAACTTTTCCCTCATAATTGAGTTTTACAAACTATAGATTAACTACTATTTCAATAAATAGAATGTTTAAAAAAATCTGTTCACCGGTCTTCTTTCATTCCCTTATTTTCACTATGTAATAAAGGGCTTCAGGTTTTGAAGTCTCAGTAGCTATGATGCTGTTTATATTGGGGAGGAGTCACCTGCCTCATACCCAATCTTCCTTTTCTAGGCTAGCCATCAACTAGCCAAGTAAGGGAGAAGCAGGGGAGTGCTTCAACCAAGGATTAAAACAAGACTTCCTAAGTGGTAAAGAGCATTCTATTATTAAATCACTAAAGCAAATATCTCTGTGTTTATCTTTTCCACAAATACTTCCTTCAAGATACTAATTTTTTCTTCTTAATTTTCATGACCATTTCAATTCATCCAGTGTTCTTTTGCCAAGTGGCTTCATTGTTTACTCCTTAAACAGAAGAAGTGTACTTTTATTGCTTTTGTTTACTTAAGTTTAATGACAGACAGCAATTTCATACTTTTAGGCGTCTGATTTCTCTCTCTGTTTGTGTTTACGGAAGTATTTCAGAGGATTAGCCATCTTATCTTTCCGCTACACTTAAAGAAATAAAAAAAAACTTTTTTACACACAATAAATCACTCACTTTTATTAAACAGAAGAAATTGTTCTCCAGTAACTGACAAGTTGAAAATTACTTACTGTGAGAAGTTAAATTTTTTCCAGTAGTTGTACAATGTTGGCTTTAAATTATTTATTTACTTTCATTTTACTTTAAGATACCTGAGAAGCCAACAGAATTACCACAACAATTGGGAAATAAAACTGAATGTGCTTTACTTGGTTTTGTCCGACATCTTGGTGTCAATTATGAGGATATACGAGAACGATGGCCTCAAGAAAGCTTAATCAAGGTGTTCACATTTAACTCTGTTCGAAAATCAATGAGTACTGTGATTAAAAACTTGGAAGCTGATCGGCCAGGTTATACTGTTTTCACTAAAGGTGCATCTGAAATGGTTTTAAAGAAGTGAGTTTCAAAGAGAAAAATTGCTTTCATATATCACAATTGATTAAGTGTTTTTGGAAAGTACACTCCATCATAATGACCTGAAAGCTTGGAAGTGATCGTCAGTCGTCGAGAAACTATCTTCCAACGCATATTCTAAAACATTTTCCCAGTTAAGAGTTTATTTCCATAAAACAGTATGAAGACGTAATTTATTGTATTTGCGCAACACATTTCAGATATTCTGATAAGATATGTACCTATCATATATGTATATATTTATGCAATAGGTTACGGAGCATAAAGGATCAAAATTTGATCACTATAGGTCAAAATGTTCACGGATCATGATCACAGATTAGAGGCAGGCACATGAGAGTGTAAATATTAGTAAGTAAAATAAACCTTGGTGTTAAAATTGGATCATCAAGGTAGGTTCAAAGTAATAACATATAATTCTTGAATGTATAAAGTAGGTTTAAGTTGTTTTATGAATAAGGATTAAAGAAATTTAAGTATACGATCCAAACTTTTTTATATACGGGTTTAAAGGCACCATTAAAGTCATCTTTATGGCCGATCTTTCTGATCTGCTTATTGATAGACGAAGTTGAACAGGCGATTGTGTGTTCTGCGGTCATGACCTGCAACTGTTGACGGGTCCTCCCAATGTACATGTGATTACACATTCAATATCGTCCAGGTGCTGTGAAGGCTTATAGGGAAGCATAAGTCTCTCAGCGGAAATGAGTTTAGCTGTCTAGTAAGTTCTACTGACTGTCTCGCTAAGTCTTTGTTTAGTGATCAGACTTTGATGACACCTCTTGAAGGGTTAAAACGTATGTATAAATGTAATTCTTTGGAAGCTAATTAGACAGGTAGAAACTATTCTCCGACAAGTGCATGTATGATCAGAATTTCTAAAATGTGTTGTGCAAATACAAATAGCACGTTTCCGATATATATATATATATATAAATTCCTTTAAAAGTCAGTTTATCGCTTCATTATTACGAGTTCTATCAAATCTTTATGGTACGTCACTTTTTCTCTGCAACTGTTTATAAATGTCAGTCGGTAAAGTCAGTCAAATCACTGACTGAAAACTTGGTTTCTCCTGTAGATACACAAGGGTACTGAGTTTGATCAACAACAAAAATGGTTAATTTGTCACGAAGTGGTATATTAAAGAAATATATATAATCAAGAGTTGATTTGTAAGAATTAGGTTTGTTTTTCAAATTCGCCCACGGATTGATATCAGTTAGAGAAACATTGAAAACCAAGGAGTACTGCCAGACAGTTGTTTCATCCCAGTTTGGGAATCATCGGTAGTACGCACCCATCGATTGCAGTTCAAACCCAGGACGTTCAAGTTACAATGCAAGCCGTATACCATTCAGCCACTGCGACCCGATTCAATGGCCAGCACATGAATTCCAATTTCTACAAATTCATCATTTTAACGCCAACCAGTGTCATCGGAGGGAACTCCATCCTTACTCCTTGACTGGATGGACCCCAGTGGTCACGAAATCTCACTAGAAATCCAGGCAACGTTTTCCTGTAGCCAGTCACTAGCGATCATCACATTGTTAAAATTGTCTATCTTCTCTAGTGTTATAAGTTGTAGTATTTTTTTCTATCTGACCAACATCTTTTCTGAAAGGAACAAAATCTATAATGTTAAACTTTACATCAATCTACTATTCATATTATCTAACTGACTCTGTTCATTTACACAGAAAAAACTGAAATGCCGGAATAAAACAAACGCCTAAAAAATTTTATGAATCGATCACGAGATGCATTCACAATTTATGATCATAAACTCTGAGAGACAGTGAGAATAACTAAACTAATCAATAAGAATGTAATTATCGTTAGCATTTGCCAAAATTACTATTTATCCATCAGTAACAATCAATTGTCTTTTATCCAGGTTTTGTCCCACCACTCATGCGCATATGATACAGAACTACGACCTATTAGAATATGTATATATATATATATATGCATACAGTTCTTTCAGAATTGGAAATACTTACCAACCTACTAAAGATATTCGGGTGTTGGTTTGAGGGGATTCGTTTGGTTAAAGGATATATCATGAGTTGACATCAGTTAGAGAACTAGTGGGAAATTTGGGAATACTAGGTAGCTGTTTCGCCTTAGTTTTGGACTCTTCATCGGCATGCACCCACTGGGTCTCGAACCGATGTTAGCTTACGATGAAATCCTATAACCAATCAAATCCCTGTAAATCAACGCTTGAATATCCATGGGATGCTCACTAGCGACTGACATTATTCAGGTAGGTTGTTACCTGGGTTCTAATTAGAATTCATGACCAACGGGATACAGCAGGTTGGATGTGAGTACAAATACTCATCGTGGAAGACATTGGCTAGTGGTTGCGCTGTATCGTGAATTGGCAGAAGTTAGAATTCATGAACTGGCTTAATGGTCTACGAGATTGCCTTTTAGCCGGAAGATCCAGTGGGTGTGTAATGATGAAGGGTCCCAATCTAGGACGAAGCAGTTGTCCAGCACTCCCAGATTTTCCAATGATCCTCTATCCCATGTCAGCTCATGATGAAATCCCGTAACCTATTAAAGATAGTTGGATATCTTGAATTAATCATCTTATCAGACTGAATTTCAACGTACGACTGCACAGAATTGCACCATACCAAGTTGTCACACTACTTATAACAGACAAAGGTGGAGATAAATTTACGGGAATTATGATGAACTAGTATATGAGGGAGACATATGAGGACGTAATGGATTCAAAAGATTGCAAAGAGTAAATGCATCTACCCTACTGACAACAACAGCTTTTAGCCATATCACCAACAGTTGACAGCCATTGGTCCTTAACATCCCAAGGACCCCAACTAGACAGTTTATGCCCTCCTAAATGGGTCAAACTGACAGTGGAAGACTTCACGGAATGATGGCAAGTTTTGATTCGGCCAGTCCGAACTCTTTTCCAACGTGATAGCTTGGCGTGCGCATTATGTGCCAGCCATCCCAATCGGTTCGGCTTTACTTACCCTCTCTACCTAACACTCTACTCCTAACTTCAATAAGACTAGAGTGTTAGCTTTTATTCACTGATAATTATTACCAGACAGTCCGATAACACTGAATAATTAACCTGTTAGATAACAATTTCAATGCAAGATTCAGCTCATAGATGAATTTCTGTCCTCAAAATTTGGTTCATCTTCACCAGTTTGTCATGACAAAAGACGATAGTTTTGTCATCTTTTAGTGACCAACCAGTGGACATAATAGTTTGAAAGCATAACCATAAATAGGAAGAAGTCTAACTGTGATCACGTTAATGTATCTTATCTTTAAGTTTCAAAGTGCTCTAAGTAATGTGACTATGATCAATCTAATACTAAAAAAAGTATAATCCTGCGTATTTTTTGAAATACCGCATTCGTTATAAATCATTTTAAGCTACTGTGGAGGAAGATTAAACTGCACTAGTTCTATGGAAGCATTTTTTTCTGTTAAATGTAAACAATTTTTTATTATGTTTGTTTTATTCCTTTGCACTCCGAGTGGAAAATAGGGACTTAGGCTCAAGGTCTGAGGTTTCAACAGAGGTGATGTTTATTTTTTCTATAGGGTGGGGTTACTAGCGTCACACCTATCCTTCTCTATTTACTGGACTCACTATCGGCTTATCGAGGTTTAGGTGTGCATCGGCTGATGATCCAACTTCAGACCACGTGCATGGTTGTTAAGCGTTCGTCCACTGAGCCAACGACACACAAATTTAAGTGGACAGTTTCCCTTTGTTTACTCTATTAAGTGAATTCATATTTTCATTGTCAAGTTACTTAACAACGGCTTGAAATTTCATGCAGTTGGTCATGAGTGACACATATTGTGTGAGGAGATAGTAATACTGCCTTACCACCTGAATTTCGATAGGTGGAGAGGGGTCTGACACAGTGTCTGGCTGGTTGAAACTCAAGCACCTAGATAAGTGAGCCACAACTCCTCAATTTTCACAGAAATCAAGTGTCATCTTCAGATAGATAGATAAATTTTCAACAGACTTTAAACCTACACAAAAGTAAGAAAAAAGAGAATCCAATATACAAACATTATCTTGTTTCTCTCTTAAGTGGATGAAAGATGAGTCTGTTTATTTAAGGCTTAATGCATCACTTCCTCTTGATTATACACTTTTTTTGCCTGTTTTGTTGAAAGGTATGAGAACTCACATTGGCTGAACAAGTATCTCTTTTTATCCATTTGTACACAAAGTCGGAAAATAATTTAAAAGAATGTAAAGGAAAATATGCCTAAGGTATTAATGTTAAATGTTGACTAAAAATAGATATTTTCTTTTAAATAATTCACTATAAGATCAAATCTACCATAATATACTACTTTACACCTTCTGTAAATAGTTTTTCTAGATAAACACTATATCATTTATTCCTTGAAACAATAATGCATAGGTTTCAGTTGACGCACACCTAAACGTGTGAAGGTTTGTGTGTGTGTGTGTTCCCAAAGAATCACCAACAAGAAACTATGGGAACAAACAAAACAAGAACCAATCGCCCAACAAATATGCAGGAGAAAGTGGAGATGGATTGGACACTTACTGAGGAGGCCGCTGGGTGAAATCACGCGTCAGGCCATTGCTCGAATGGGACCCGAAAGGGAAGCGGCGAGTGGGACGTCCAAGGGTGACATGGAGGAGATCGTGTGAAGAGGAGCTGAAACAGTATGGACTAACATGGATGCAGGTTAAAAGTACAGCAGAAGACAGAAACAAGTGGAGGTGTGTAGTTGAAGCCCTATGTTGCACTAGGAACCCAAGGGAACAATAATAATATACACCTAAACGTTGTCTAGCTTACAAGCCATTATCGATATCCTGGTTAGTTTGCGTGTAAGGCTACCAGTCTCACCGGTGAAAAACAACACCGTCACTAACGGAACTTCAAAGCTCATGGGCCTTATGTTCCATTCGGAATTTCCAGGAATAGAAAATAAATAAAAACATCAGAATGAAAGACTCTGTGTGGTCAGTCATATATACATATATGTGTATAATTATTCCCTTGGGTTTCAAATGGAACATAAGGCTTCTGTAATGCATTGCCACTTCACTGCTCACTGTAGTCGTTTCGTAACCGGCCCCATGATTGCCTACAAGCTTTCATTTTCCCCTCACAGGACTGCCTTCATGTCATCCTCAGATGCCAGCACTGGTCGTTTACCATTCTGTTTCCACTTGGCGGCCTGCCTTGCGTATGATGTCACTCAACAGTCGTGTTAGTCTATGCCCAACCTATCTCCATTCTCTACTGTATATTCTCGGGCAATAAAGTCTTGCTTTGCAAATGTTGGTTTCCAGGGATTTGATGGGTTTCAGGATTTCATACTGAGCTGACATCGATTAGAGAACCATTGGAAACCATGAAAGTAGTGGACATGTGTTTCGTCCTAGTTTTGGACTCTTCACTGGCACGCACCCACCGGGGTTTGAACTCAGGACCTTCAGGCTACAAGACGAGCTTTAGGACCGGGAACCAGTGGCCTGATGGCCTACAAGCTCCCCTTGCAACCAGCAGATCCTGTATTAGAACACTGGTGGGTGCGTACTGGGGAAGAGTCCCAAACTACGACGAAACAGCTATCCAGTACTCCCAGGTTTTCTTATGGTTATCCCATAATGAAATCCTGAAATAAAGTCTTGGTTTGTTCGTTTCTAGAGTTCCTTGTTGTCAATCCTTTTTGGCTATTCATCTTATCTTCAGTAGTCAGATGGCGATGGTAGCTGCTGATGTAAGTCTACAGCCTGTTGGAAATGCTTTTAGTAACGCGCTAAGCCTCCGAACCACTCACTCAGAAATACTGATTCGACATTAGAGTTGAAGATGTGGATCTTGTTCTGCAGGCTGAGTTTAGCACATTTCAACACTGATTTCACACTGATGAACGTCTGTCTTGCTTTTTCGACCCTGGACTTCAACACTATTCTATTCAAATCCAGACATTTACATTAATAAACGAGTGAATTTGATACGACAGCAATCTCTGGCATTCTTGAAGCCAATTACATTTAGAATTGAACTACACAGACTTAAATACTATTATCTCAATTTTATTTTAGTATATATATGTATATATATATTCAATTATCCATTACTTTTATTCAGTGACTTCCTGTTTCGCTTAGATTATTCCTTTTTTTTAAAACTCTATACAATAATAGACTGTTCTAACTACTAATTACTCCAAGTTTAATTGAAGTAATTTCCGCGCAACCTTTGTCCTTAAACTAATTACACTTTTCAACAATTTCCCCCTTATTATACAACAAATTCAGCAGTAATCATGTCAAATATTGTTTTAACACAAAAAGTGAAGACTTAGCGACAGGTGATGGCTCTGTTTTTTTTTATTACACATTTCCACTTCAAAGGAAATACGTGTTTTATTCAAGCAACAGAAGTGAAAACACATTTTTTTCCCAATAATCCACCATAAAAAAACTTTGACGATTCATTCGGCTTATTTCTTACTTTGTAGTAACTGTAATTTCTAGGGCTATTCAAAGTGAAAAGTATTGATTTAATGGTGCTCGTTAGTGGCTGGCTACAAGATGAAGGTGTCTGGAGTTCTAGTAAGAAGTCATGACCAGTGAAGTCCATCCAGTCAAGGAGTAAGGATGGAGTTCCGGCCAATGACATTGGTTGGCGCTAAAATGGCGAATTTGTAGAAATTGGCATTCATGGGGTGGCCACTAAATCGGGTCGCAGTGGCTGAATGGTATACGAGATTGTATTGTAGTCGGAACATCCCGGGTTCGAAACCCAGTGGATCCCAAACTGGGATGAAACAATTGTCTGGCAGTACTCTCTGGTTTCCAATGTTTCTCTAAGAGATATCAATCCATTGTCTGACCCGAAACAAATAAAATCCCTACAAAAACTACTTCTTGAAAAGTATTAATATGTGTTGGGTGAAGATTACAGAACAGATTTTTGTTGGTTTTTACAAGTAATAAGAGCATATTTTGTTGTCTAACATACAACTAATTTACGATTGGGAAAGCAAAGTTAATTTGATTTCAATGGTGAATTTCGTAATGAATAGGATATCTCTCAGATAATAGATAAAAACGAAAATACGACCAGATACTCATACTACCTACCATCCTTTCGAAATATGTGATCGAATCCAGCAATCTAAGGTAACAAAGTAAGACCTATACCATTGAGATAATGCATGCCAGCCAGCCAGCCTACTAGCAAAACAGCAACACCGCCTAACCTCATTATTCATCATTAGATTTTCTTGCAAGAATCAAATTCAGGCATGCTTATAAATAAAAATTTTCAAGTTCATTTTGATTATTTGAAGTCTTCTGTACCAAATGCTGTTGTTAATTTAGTGGCTTCACATTGAGTGACATCACACGCAGTGCACACCCTCAGGGGAAACCGTAATGGAAAACAACGAGTTTGACTTGGGTCACAGGGTGATATGGAGGAGATTTTATGAGGGGGAAGGATGAAAGCCTGCAGGCAATCTTGGAGTCAATTAAAAAAACTGTAGTGAACAGAGTGATATGACAATATGGTGCTTATGTCCTATATTCCAAAAGGAACCCTCGGGGCGAATAACAATAACAATACGCAAAACTTCAAACTATTAAGACGATGATTTTTAGAAACTTAAAAGTTTTTTACGTTACATGCCTATATTTTTCCATAACTCAAGGTTAGAATATGAGACTAGTATTGTAAATTTGTTTCCTGATAAGTCAGTGTTTTGAAGTAGTGATGTTATAACTGTGTGATTTCCGTTGAGTATTTATTTTTTCCACTGTAATTCGCTGGTTTCCTAACAACTTTCCTCTAAAATGATTATATTTTCTTATATTGAATGAAAAGCGTTTTCCTAAATTTTCGTGTTACATGAAGTCAGTTAGTGGATGGTGACTAGCAGTGGAATCCAGGATGCGCAGTTTCGCCCTATTTGTGACTCATCATCTGGATGTACCTGCATTCCGCAGTGAGTGACGATGTTCCTACCGAGGATAACGCTTTGGCGTTTGAAACTGTGGGCACTGGGCTCAAGCCTCAGTGGAAACATTATCCATCACTGCGGAATGCAGTTACATCCAGTTGACGAGTCCCAAATAGGACGAGATGTGCATCCTGGATTCCACTGCCAGTCACCATCCACCAGTTGGCTTCAAGTTATATGCCCAGACATTGTCGTAGCATCTGCACAAGAAGCCGATATGTCAACCTGAGACCTAGCACTTCGGTCTAATCAATCGACGGGAAAATCTAAAATTGAATTAAGTAATTTCATGTTATATAGTCTATTATTATTATTATTAAAAATATATTACATGTAGAATTACAATAAAATGTGTATTTATACCGTTTTCTATGGACTGTTTCAGATGCACTTACATTCTTGATGCTAATGGTGAACCGAAACCATTCACTGTAGCCAATCAAGAAAGTTTAGTTCGAGATGTGATAGAACCGATGGCTGGTGATGGACTACGAACTATAGGCATAGCATACAAAAGTTATATTGATTCTGGTAGGTCACTATTATGCTGTTATTGTTTTCAAATGATATTAAATAGAGTATTGATAATTATGTTTGCATTGCTTCTGTTATACTTACTCAGTAATCTTCAGTGGCAAATAATGTAGGCTAAAGTATTTATACTTCTTATATCCTGTAGGGAAAAGGTCAGTGACTATCAGTGCAGCTGATAAATATTTCCCGTTAATGTGATTTCATATGAATTAATTCTAAATGTGTGTGTGATGAATTATTCTTCTAAAGCGTAGTTGACTATATATATATGTGATTTCTCTCTTCTGTCAAATTTGAGATATATGACGCAACAAACAGTTAGTGCCTTCATAGAGTAGCTTTCCTCAGTGATGAATAGTTTTCAACAACTATCTATCTCTTTTTATATTCCTTTACGTTACCAGTGGAACATAGGGCTTCAAGCTTGAAGTCTAACATTACGGTAGCAGAGGGTTTATTTTTACGGGGTGTGGTATCTAGCCTTATAATAATAATAATAATGATTTACTTTATTCCAAAAACAGTACTTGTGATACAGAATGGAATTTTCAGCATTAATCACAATATGTCTAACCTTCCCTCTTTACCTGCCAGCTTAGAGAGGTTTCAGAGTGCGTCTGCCGGTGAACTAACTCCGAACAACATTCGTGGTTGGCGAGTATTCTACCGCTGAACCACTGACACAACTATTCTAGTGAGAATTCGTGACCAGTAGGGTGCAGCTGGTCGGGTGTGAGGACAAATAGTTGCCGAAGACATTGGCTAGGGGTCGCACTATGTCGTGAATTGGTAGAAGTTGAAATTCATGGGCTAGTGGATCGGGTCCCAGTAGCTTAATGGTATACGAGCTCGCCTTGTAACCAGAACATCCTGGGTTTGAACCCTATCGGGGAGCTGTGTACTGATGAAGAGTCCCAAACTAGGACGAAACATTTGTCCAGTGCTCCATAGATTATGTGCATCGGTGGTTCAGTAGTAGAACATTCACCGACGCACTCTTAAACTTCTCCTAGCTGGCAGTAAGCTCGGTAGGTAGGGAATGTTGGCCATGAGATTAGCTATCTCACCCCGTAAAGGACATAAACGCAAGTACTGCTGAAACTTCAAAGCTCAAAGCTTGAAGCCTTTTGTTTCACTATGAACTCAAATGAATAAAATCAAAAGGAAATACAGCTGAATCGTATATTGTATTAATGTATCCACATTCAATCTTTTTATTGATAATTAAATAAGTATTCGTTTTTCCTTCGGAATTAAAGAAACGAAAGTTTCATTTGTCGTACTTTACATTTCATGACTTCACATGAGCTTAATATGGCAGATGATTACCATAAGGTCTGTTGAATTGACTTAATAGACTTCGAAGAAAAAGTTTTTCTGTTTTTTGGAAAACTGGTATGGTTTTCTAAGTGAAATATTCATCTAATTGTGTATAATAATATTTTACTACTTAAAAAAGTATAGTCGTAAATTTTTTGGCACGCGTGTCTGAGCATAAATTTTACTTTAATTCTCTCAACTGAATGATAATTATTAAAATGTTGAAGATATGACTGTGCTTATAATATATTCTTTAATAGCCAGTTATTGGCAATGAAATTCAGGGCATAGATTTTATCCTAAACTGGAACTCGTTAACTGAATGTACCTGGATGCTAATGAATGAATGAATGACCGAATGAATGATTATGGTTCCCTTACGAACTTAAAACTAGCAATCATTGTTTCAAACACTAAAAAGTGTTGTTCTCCTAGGCAGGCTATTGAAAAATGACTACCATATCTTATGTAACGTTATCGAGTGAAAATCTGAGCTCCCCTTTGTTTAATTTCACTTGACTGAAATAGTATCAGCTTCTAGGACAGACTAAGAATGCTTAATGATATTCAAGTATTGGTTTGTAGGGATTTGGTTGACTGGTTACAGGATTTCATCATGAGCTGACATTGGTTAGAGAACCATTGGAAAACCTGGGAGTACTGGACAGCTGTTTTGGACGAAACAGCTGTCCAGTACTCCCAGGTTTTCCAATGGTTCTCTAACCAATGTCAGCTCATGATGAAATCCTGTAACCAATGTTAAATGAGTGACAAAATTCAAAGGACATGTCTGTTGTCGAGTATTCAGTCGAAGATTATAAATATTTAGACCATAGATCTTGTGAATTTCTCAGGGTGGTTTGAGTGCCGTATAAGATGAGATCATTATAAAATTATTTTAAATAATCACAGTATGTTTAGAAGCTCAAAATAAAAAGATTTTCTTTCTGAAAGTTTCCCTGCGTAAGCTACATTTTCTTCAGCCGAATTACTCGAATTTTACGAAATATCAGAATGTGTATTTGGTCAAATGGTGTATCCACTAAAGTGAACTTGTCTAAAGGTCATTTGAAGATAAATATTCATACTAACTGGATAACTGTGATCAGTTCTCGTGTATATGTCAATTTTCGTCATTACAATATGTGTATATCTGTCTGTATGTTGTTCACTGTAATGAGAACACGTCAGTTCAGAAGTAGCAGTGGTAGTTTAGAGGCTGAAAACTGTAAAAAATAAGGAATCTCCTTTGTCTGTCAGACAGGTGATAAGTCTGTCTACTCAATCTCTCCTACTTATTGAGTCGGATTTAGTTGAAATATGCCGGGCCTCAAAGGTTAACATTTCTTTATATGAACGTAAACCACTTCCTAGTATTTCAACATTATGAAAATCAATCTCATATCTACTTTCTGTGGCGTGCGACTGCTACAGTTGGTCTTTACTCCTAACCTTCTAGCTGTCCACTGCTTCCGTCTATATTACAATCTCCACATCCCAGATATTTCCTTCTTTAGACACTGGTCTTTTGTGCCATTTTTGCAAATAAACCTTTCACATTAACGAAAGCTTTCTCTAAAAATAAGCTTTAACCTCATATGCAGCAAATACTCTTTGAAGTTATTATACACTGTCATTCCGATATGGAACAGGTATTTTAGACATTCAAGACTTCTTACTGAATATTCTTCTTTTTCTTTCTGCTATTTTTATTGATAAAATATTCTTCAGAGACATTTTTGTATAATAATTTTCAATTGAAAATCTGTCCCAATTTGAAGACCTCATTCTCTATATCATACACTTATCAGTTGTAATGTTTTTAGCGCTATTTAGCAGATGTAAAACTACTGAATCTTTCATGCTTCTTTGGATGATAAGATAGAAAATTCAAATATTTATTTCAGTGTATTAATTTATAGCATACTGTAAACATTAGTCTTCTATCTCTGTCCTCTAACAAGATGTTTTCCAGTCTTAGTTTACGGGAGTTTGACTGGTTACAGGTTTGATTATGAGCTAGCATCAGTTATGGGCAACACCACCAACAGCAACAACAGCAACTGACAACAATCAGCATAAATGGGAGGAACCTGAAAGAAACAACCTCTTTCACATACCTGGGAAGCATCGTTTCAATTACAGGCGGAACTGACGAGGATATAAAAGCAAGAATTGGAAAAGCACGACAAGCTTTCACTACTCTCAAGTCTATGTGGAGGTCAACAACACTCAGCATCAAAAATAAGATCCGGATTTTCAACTCCAATGTGAAGTCAGTGCTACTATACGGATCAGAGACTTGGTGCGTCATAAGGAGCATCTCAAACAAACAACACACCTTCATTAACAGCTATCTTCGCTCAATACTCAAGATCAGATGGTTGGCCAGAAAAGATCAGCAGCAGGGATCTCTGGGAGTGAACCAACCAGGAACCGATTGTGAAACAAATATGCAGAAAGAAATGGAGATGGATTGGCCATACTCTTAGGAAACCATCAAGTGACATCACTAGACAAGCCATTGCTCGAGTGGAACCCGAAAGTGCAGCGGCCAGTTGGTCGTCCAAGGGTGACATAGAGGAGGTCATGTGAAGAGGAGATGAAAACGTGAGGGCAGACATGCAGCCAGGTGAAGACTCTAGCAGAGAACCGAACGCAATGGAGACGCATGGCTGAAGCCCTATGTTCCTCTAGGAATTAAAGGAAACAATAATAATATTATAATAATAGCATCAGTTAGATAACCACTGAAAAACCTGAGCGTAGTCGACAGCTGTCTTGTCCTAGTTTAGAGCTAGTAAGCAGTATGCACCATCACTGTTTGAGCTTAAAAAGTCCCAGTTACAAAGCCAGCTCATAGACCATTCAGCCACTGAGACTTGATCCAGTCGCCTATGAATTCCAGCTTCTGCTAATTTGTGATATTATATAGCACAATTTTCGGTCAGTGTCATCGCCAAGTAAGTGTTCTCTTACGTGACCTGATGGACCCTTCCGGTGACGAATTCTCACTGGAACTCAATGTAATTGGCTGTATGGAGGCAGTCACTAGTGAGCATCATATCAGCTTCCAAGTGTTAGTTTTCAGGGATTCGAACCCTAGTCGTAGCGTCCTAGAATAGGACGAAACAGTTGTCCAGTACTCCGTGTTTTTTTTCAATAGCTCCCTAAAATGATCTAGAAGCTTTAGAGTCTCCTCATCCTATTCGATTTCATCTGTAAATTGTATACACTTCTAAACTCTCTGAGATTAATTCCAAATATTTTTGTAATTAATGGAAAAGATTCACAGGTAGCTACGAGAGATATGGATTCAACTCTGTCGATATTTATATCGTATCGTATTATGTGTACACCTAATTAAATTAAAAGATCATATAGATGCTAAATAACCCAAAGCTTCGGTAAAAAACGGAAATTTCTTTCTGGCATACTTTTGGGTGATATTGATTCACTAATCAAATTAAGCGTAACAGATGTATATTAGTAATATATATATATATATATATATATATATATATATATATATATATACAGTTTATGCTTTATATAATAAGTTGATATTTCAAATGGTATTATCTTGTGGATTGTAATAAAGCAGGAATTCCTAGAGGATGTGCTTACGACATGATGCTTCTTCTTCTACTTTTTTTGCGCCCATTTATATTCACTCCTTCCATTGGAGTTTCTTTTTTTTAAGGAGAAAAAGAGAATTCAGTATTTGATTTAACTTATGCCCTACTTTCACACACACAGTTTTATAAATAAATAATGAAACATTATGATGAAAAGGGCATACACAGGCGCTCACAGAGAGACGCTGAATATATATTAATTAATATAATATTAAATGCCACTTCAAATAATGAAAGTGAAATCATTGTTTTTTTAGACAATAATAATAGTGATTTATTTATTTATTTATAAATAAAGTTTATATGTGGTCAAGTTATTTCTAATCATCATGTTAACAATGTGATGTATTGAAACAGTTTAAGAAGAAAAAAAAGAGTAAAAAGAGAGAGGGCAAGAAGTTGGATTGGAGAAAAATTTACTATACACCGATGTACTACTGATATGTGTCTTTCAGTAGTAATAGTAATAGTTAACAGTGTATTATAAATTCTATTTAAAATAACCAACTCATGTTGGTAATCAATCGGCTTTTGCTGTAGATTTCAGACGGCTTTATATCCACTAGCTACAAACGGAAGCATATGTATGTATGTATGTTTGCATATATGTAAAGTTGAAATGCGGCTCTTATTCCTAGAGTTTACTTAAAAACTAGAGTGTCATGGAGGGAGAGAGAGAGTGGTAGATATGCATAGCACACTATATTATGTGAATATTTGTCTTGTATGTATTACAAGGTAACAGATACTCAAATATAATCTAGAAATATTGTTATTTTTAGAGAAATGAAACGAATAAAGGTAATATAAGGTGATAAGGGTAGGCAAATATATGTATATATGTATCATTTGCATACCGCACAACTGTCAAACTTATCAAGTTGTTTCTATTGTTTATTTAACAATGATGAAAATTACCCCCCTGGAGGTGACAATATTACCATACTCTGATTTTTGTGGTAAAAATCTCATTCATTATTTCAACATAAAGGAAAATGTCTCTTACATTAATACTGTATAAGGGTGACTTTAAACTATAGCAGCCCAAAACGAAACTACCGCTGGCGACCAATCAGATGCGTCAGAATTAGAAGTGCGTAATTTGAAACAGACGTCTATATGTAAGTGATGCAATGATAAAAAGAATGGTTACACAGGATAATATTCTTGTATATTTCGCAAGAAAACCTCCCAATTTCTCACAGGATTGCTCATAGTCGGGTTAAACCAATTTTTGTACATTATTTCATCAAGGTCACTAATCCGTTCACATTAGGGAATTTCGTTTTTGGCTGCTATTGTTTAGAATCACCCTGTATAAATACAGATTATTTATTAAAGCTTATTTTGTGAATAAAAAAACCCAGTAAGTAATTGAGAAGTATTTTTCAGATGTAGTGAGCTATCAGTTATGGAGAATTTTCTGCTGTCTAAGAAAAAGAAATGCGAGACAGGGGAATTAAGAGTATGAAATAGAATGATAAAAAGAAAAGGTGAAGTTGTTAAAACGTGACTTCACAACTGCTGTATTATCATTATAATGCTGGTTAAAATAAGATGCTACGTTTTTTAGCCAATGGTTTTCTTAAGGAGGATAATATCTCTGCCTTCTTGTATCATCTATAGTTTGTTAGGTATTATGGTAACTACTGTGTTACACATTTTGTGTCTAACAAACGAAGTAATAACGTCTGGAAAAGATAAACAATAAGGAACTTCGAAGACGAATAAACCAAAAGCCTATTGACCAACAAATGTACTGAAACAAATTCAGATGGACTGAAAATACGCTGACAAGACTGTTGAATAACATCACGCTTAGTTCAGGTCGTTCGTTGAATGAAACTGGAATTGGAAAAGACAGGTTGGACCTTCAAGGATAATATGCAGAAGGTAGTGTAAATGGGAAATGAAACCTTCTAGGCAATCATGGAGAAAGCGAAATAGTTCTGTGCTACTGAAGTCCTATGTTCCACTCGGAACTCTAGGGACAAATAATAATAAAATGAACGTCCATAATTCCATTCAAAATGACACATTAATTAGCGCTTAAGCAGTACGCACCCTTCCGACAGGGTTCGAACCCAGGATCTTCTGGTTACAAGGCGAACCATCTCGTAGATCATTAAGCTACCGGAACCCAATCCAATAGCCAACCCATGAATTCTAACTTCTATAGATTCACGACATAGCGCGACCTCTAGCCAAAGTTAGAATTCATGAACTGGCCATTGGATCGGGTCCCAGTGGCTTAATGATCTACGAGCTGGTTTGCCTTGTAACCAGAAGGTCCTGGGTTTAAACCCTGTGGGAGGGGTACGTACTGATGAAGAGTCCTAAACCAGGACGAAACACCTGTCCAGTACTCCCAATCGGTTTTCCAGTGGTTCTTTCAGTATAACAAACCAACCACGTGTGTTATATAATTACAACCGAAGTCAATTAAATATTCTAATTATTGATGCCTTTTAACTTCATCAGATTCAAAAGTATTTTCTCCTAAACTGCTGTCTAACTTTCTCGTTGTTGTCTTTTTTCTAAAAATTCTTTCTTTTTCACAGCTGTTGGAGTTGCCACCAATGAAGTTCCTCTAAAGCGTGGTCAAACACCAGATTTTGATGATGAAGATACAGTTGTATCTAACTTAACATGTATTGGTATTGTGGGAATTGAAGATCCTGTACGACCAGAAGTCCCTGCTGCTATTCGAAAATGTCAACGTGCTGGAATTACTGTTCGTATGGTAACTGGTGACAATGTGAATACAGCACGATCCATCGCTTATAAATGTGGTATCTTAAGACCAGGTGATAATTATATTGTATTAGAAGGAAAAGAATTCAATAATCGTGTCCGTGATCCACGTACAAATCGTGTTAGACAAGATTTAATGGATCAGGTGTGGCCACAGCTTAGAGTATTAGCACGTTCATCTCCACAGGATAAATACACGCTTGTTAGTGGAATTATTGATAGTCATATTTCAACACGTCGTGAAGTTGTCGCTGTCACTGGTGATGGTACAAATGATGGACCTGCATTGAAAAAAGCTGATGTTGGTTTTGCAATGGGTATAGCTGGAACAGATGTAGCTAAAGAAGCATCCGATATCATACTGACTGATGATAATTTTACTAGTATTGTTAAAGCAGTAATGTGGGGAAGAAATGTCTACGATTCAATATCAAAATTTTTGCAATTTCAATTAACTGTCAATATGGTGGCTATTATAGTCGCATTTATTGGTGCTTGTTTTATCACAGTGAGTTTTTCAAAAGCATTTTTCGCCTTCTGGGTATTTCTATCATTATAAAAAAAAAATTAAAAAATAAACATGATAATGAGGTAAAAGTCATCGAAAAAAAGAAAGGAAAAGAGGTTATCAGTAATCACCGTCATCTTAAAATGAGAATTTCGGGCTAACATACTGTTTCTTATTTCAATAATATATATATATATATTATGTATATATAATAAGTATGTCATCAAGCTGGTCAAACACGTGATATAATCAAGTAATTTTATTTTGTGATTATAATTATGAATTACTTAAAATCACACGTTTCTTCTGCTTCTGCTTCTGCTTCTATTTCTCCTGCTTTGAATTCATTTTCAATCCAAGTAATTTAATCACAAGAACTTTTGAACTTTCCCTCTCTGTCACACTCTCCCTCTCATACACACTCAATTAAACTGAAACCAGAAGAAGAGAACACAGTGTAAGCAAATTTTATCAATCCCAAAGGTATTCCTACTTGATAGTTTTGATGAGGTGATGAAAGAAACACAGGAAGGCAAAAAAAAAGGAGAAGAAGGATTCTAATTTAATTTAAAATAACTGTATAGAAAGGGAGGAAAAAGCAACTTAGGTGTTAGTTCTATTCGCAAAAATTTTGTTCAAACCTGCTTACAGCAGTGCGATGTATAACACGGTCAAATTAGAAACCTTATCAACCAACTAGTTGAAAGTAGAGAAATATGATATTATCTAGAGGCCGAATACCTCAGCGGTAATATCTCTGACTACAACACTAGGTGACCCAGGTTCGAATTTCAGAAGGAATGTAAGTTTCTTCAAGATCACAGATATCCCTTACTGACAAGTACGGATAAGCATGAAACCTAGATCCAAGGCGTCCTCCCGATGTCCTCCAAATATCTAACAACAATATCCAAATATACTTAGTGCTGCTAAGTAGAAATTGGTATCTCTATATAGCCAAATTATGTATACCTTATCTTCTACGCACAATTTGTACAGATCTGCGTGTTGTGTTACTCCTGGACTTCATATTCTGTTTCTTTGTGTTCCTTTCACTTCTATGTATCTCCACAAAGCTGTATCATTTGCCTTCTCTGAATTCATCAAATCTATCCCCCTGCTATTTGATGTTTTTATGCCAATGAAAGTCTCTTTATATACTACTTATAAGTCTTATCAGTAGCACTCGCCACAACGTTTTTCAGGATAAATTGTTGACTAAAACACATTTATTTCTACCTTATAGCATAGTTTATAATACTTGAATATACATTTTGAGCTGTAAGCAACTGTATGCATGTCAGACAGCAGATATAAATGACAGTGTCTTAATCATACACCAGCGTATAGTATTTCTAAAGATTCAAAATAAGTGATGTAAAGACGCTTATTGATTTAAAAATAGAATCTGTGATAGCGTAGAAAACTTCATCATAAAGATACTTATTATGTAAACTCCTAACTATCAGAATCAATACACTGCTAGTTCAAACGCCCAAAGTTGAGTGATTTGAAATGGTTGGGCTCTGTAAACTAAATTAAACCGAGTGGCTGCCCAACTGATGGGCACGGCCGCAAACAAGTGAAACAGACATCTGGTGCTTTGATAAATCCATTTCGGCTAGCGAGCACTACTAGTTGATCTGAGTGGTAATCAACAACTCAGCATTTATGCACAAAACTATATACCACCGATTGATTGATTGACTGGTTGAGTTGAGTACTCGTATACACCACTCATATCAACCAGTAGTGCTTATCATTCAGATCGAGGTGATTGAGACACTGGACTACCGTTTCGCTCGACTGGGGGCCGTGCTCATCAGCAGTTGTGTCCCCACATGGTTAAACTCAGCTCAGAGAGCCTAAACAGTTAAAAAAAATACCTGATTTCCAGATAGCTACTTGCGTAAACTAGCCATATCATACTTCAAATTAGCAGTTTGTAGCGAACACAGTTGGAGGGGTGAAATTTTCACCACATTCATCTTAATCACTGCATAAATCACTGAAATCCTGTGAATTATAGATGCCACTTATTTTATTTCACTCATTTTTCCAAATTTTACACTTATTTAATAAACACATGCATATATTACTGTAAATCATAATAACCTAAATGACCATAAAACTTGCCAAGTCGAAAGATTTTGTTAAGGGTAAATCTTTTAAAAATTACCTACTATGAATGCGTGTATATATATATATATGTGTATGTACGTGTGTATATCACATACGCACGCACGCACGCACGCACGCACACATACAAGACATGTTGTAAGACAAAATATCACCAATAAGTAATAAGATTTATTTCTAGATACACTTAACTGATAGCAGCCTTTTAATTTATATATTTGCCTTCTCTTTAAGCGAAATATCTCAACTGCATTTTATTCTCTCCCTGTCTCTTTTATGCATAATCTTGATCGTACAAGTGACTAATTAGCTTTCATACAAAATAATAATAAATGAATACTAAGCATTCCACCGCATAGATGGATGGATGTACAATAATAATATGTGGCTTGTAATAATAATATTCATCATATATGAATATTGAAACTGTTTGATATGGTCGACGTGTGAGAAAGAAAAAAAAAAGAGGATACAAATTTGCGAGTTCGCTTCCATCACCAACCAAAATGCAGTAAAAGAAATTTGTGCCAGCATCAAAAATAAGATCCGGATTTTCAACTCCAATGTGAAGTCAGTGCTACTATACGGATGGATCAGAGACTTGGCCAGCGCGTCATAAAGAGCATCTCAAACAAACTACAAACCTTCATTAACAGTTGTCTTCGCTCAATACTCAAGATCAGATGACGGGCCAGAAAAGATCAGCAACAGAGATCTCTGGGAGCGAACCAGCACAGCAGGAACCGATTGTGAAACAAATAGGCAGGAAGAAATGGAGATGGATTGGCCATACTCTGAGGAAACCATCAAGTGACATCACTAGACAAGCCATTGTTCGAGTGGAACCCGAAAGGGAAGCGGCGGCGAGTTAGTCGTCAGTGCGAGGGTGACTTGGAGGAGTTCATGTGAAGAGCAGATAACAACGTGTGGGCAGACTTGGAGCTAGGTGAAGACTCTAGCAGAGAACCGAACGCAATGGAGACGCATGGCTGAAGCCCTATGTTCCTCTAGGAATTAAAGGAAACAATAATAATAATGATTTACCTGATTATTCATACAAGGAAGTTTAAATAAAAACTGCTACTTTGAATCGTTGATATTAGATGGTTGGAGGCACTCAGTAGGAAGCCCAGTTGGACCTAGGTCTCGTGCTATTTGGCACTCATCAGTCAGCTACGCGAATCTGCAACCTTGAAGGAACTCATGTCCCCACCCCGTGAGATTCGAACCCGCGTCACCCAGTGCTGTAGTTCAAGACATTACCACTGAGCTATTATATAATATTAGCACTACAAAGTTCAGCGTGATGGTGAGCCACTTAGCATTGCGGCCACATTGCAAACTTGACTGATAGAATTCAGTCTGCACCAAACAAATGACTAGACACACTACACTAGTCACTGACTAGTGTCCAATCAAAGAAAACAGCTGCCCTGAAAAGTTCATCACGAAACACGCAACCAAGAAAGCAGAAGAGAATTCTTCTTTGTCCTTTAACAAGATACCTCTTCATACATATATATACGACTACACTACAAAAGTGACATATATCCAAGTGAAATAATACCCAACAAGTTGAGAGAATCGTTTCAAAGAACGGTTGATGATGGTGGGATGCAGCTTATATTTTTTCCCACAACCGGTTGTGATTCCGAAACTGATAGATGAAGTTCCCAGGCTAGCCACCTCTGGTTGTATCTATCAACTCAATATGCTCTTACGGAGCCAGTTATATTGGCTGTTGTTGTAGGAAACTAATTTATCATGCTCGGGTAAAGGTGTTGTTAAAATCATCAACAGTTCTATATTGGATAACCTCATCCAAACAGTGCACAAAGCTCTCAGTGAAAAGTCTTTATCTATCATCTATGAAGTATCGAATAAATTACCAAAAGTCTATAGATCCTGAACCCTCCAAGTAACAGAGGTCATAGCAATTTGCTTAAATCAATAAGAGATCTGCGTGCAACAGAAACTGGACCAGCTACTATTACTACCCTGGTCTACTGTGAGACCAATGAATTCATAAATTATGACTTGCTTCCCTTAATTCATTTTATGCTAAGTTTAGTGTTATTTTTTTTTACTCCATCACTTCCCTAGTGGAACACAGGGCTTGAAGTTTCTGTAGCAGTGTTTATCTTTACAGGATGGGGTTGCTAGCCACATGCCTAACCTTTCCTCTTTACCCGTTTTAATTTCTGGCTTAGCGAGGTAAAGGAGTGCGTGGTTGGCTAGCGTCCTAACCGCTGTGCAAGTTTGGTGTCGTATCAATGCATATAATCTATCTCTGTCTTACCGATACTTTTGAAATGTAATCTGTCAATACTATTGATTCAATGTAATTTAAAAAAATCACTGATGTTGTCAATAACAACATTTTAATTATTACTGTCATATAAATGTAGAATCTGATGGCGAATTCATCAAAAACAATATTCTTTGTTTATCAATCAGTTTTTTTTAGATTTTTAATGAACCTCTTCAGTGAATTAATAAAAATACTCAACATAGAAATAAAAATTGTCATCCTCAAACCTTTTCTCTAACCAATGTTATTGACAGTAGTAACTTCATGTATAGATTCTTCCTCACCTATGCAGCACAGACTACATGGTGTTCATCAGCGTACTCAGTTTAGTGATTCTCACCGAATATGGCAGGACTTCATGATGTTTCCTTTAGTATAAAAGACAACTTCAAACCTACTGACTGAAAGTCAGCAATCTTGATATTTAGGCTTTAGCTGTTTATGTATATAGGTCGAGAATTCGTGACATTATATATATATATATATATATATATATATATATATATATTCAGTCTCTCTGCATAGCAGAAAATTCCAACAACTTTAAATATTATTGTGTTAACAATACACCTATCTTATGTTTTACTCAACAGGATAGTCCATTGAAAGCTGTGCAAATGTTATGGGTTAATTTAATCATGGATACTTTAGCATCATTAGCATTGGCAACAGAAATACCAACAGAAGAACTGCTTGAACGTGCACCATATGGTCGAACAAAACCTATTATTAGTCGAAATATGATAAAAAATATTCTCGGACAATCTATTTACCAATTGACAGTTATTTTCTATCTTATATGGTTTGGTAAGTTAATTGCGTTCATAAATTATTTTCTGTTTATTTTTTTTATAGTTTGCTTGATTCATTTGCATTAGTTTATTGTGGGGCTTTTTTTCTCTATCTTAGTTAATCATTCACGGCAGAGTGGAATTTAATTCCTTCTCATCTTTTTTGTCCGTTGTAATTATACTACTGAGTACTTTTCAGTAGCTTAAGGCAGCAAAACAAAATTCGGTCTTTTAGATTATTTAAATTTAACTCAATGTAGATTTCATCACGCTATATCATGAATTGAAATAGTTATATTTCCCGAGTCACTGAATTCCGGCCCAAGTGGCTTAGTAGTTAGCCAGCTAGGTCTGGTGACTTAAATGTACCGGGTTCAATCCATGATAGGGTCGTGAAGGATCACTATGAAAAGTCCTAAGCTAGGACGAAACAGCTGCCTAGTACTTCCTGGTCTTCAGTGGTCTCTTTAATTGATATTAGTTTATGAAGAACTTGTACTGATTTGTATAAACTGTTTTAACAGCAAACTTTGGAATTATCATAGAGAAGCCAGGTTTACAGTACCAACTTCTATAACAAAAATCTAATTAAACCACACATACTCTCCTAGTGGGAAGAAAGATTAGGAGATATACAAAAGTATTGCCCCTAAAGAACAATGAGAGATGGGAAGAAGTGTGTAATGCGTTACTTTGCATTATACAATACTATGTCAGTTAAATTAACCGATAGGTAACTCAGCACCACTGACTGACCGACTGACTTAGTAAATTTTATGTTAATGTGATCAATAATCTAAACTGGTTGCCGTCCATGAGAATTATAATTCTGCAAAAGATGATGAAATGTACTGATTAGTTCATGAAAAAGATATTTATTTAACAAAAGTCGTATATATTTCTTATCTGCAACTTCACTTTCAAGCCACATAGTATTGTAGTATTATTTCCTTGGGTTCCGACTGGAACATACAGCTTCAGTAGTATATCTCCATTTTACCCTGTCCTCTGAAGTCCTCATCAGCTGACCCCACGGTCGCCCATAAGTCTTCATCTCCCTCTTACACTACTTACTGCAAATCACCCTCGGACACCGAACTCGCTCTTTCCCACCTGGGTTCCACTCGAGGGCTTAGTTCATGATGTCACTCAACGGTCTCCTCAGGGTGTGTCCGATCCCTTTTCATTTCCTTCTGTATACATTTGTTGGGTGATTGGTTCTTGACTGGTTCGCTACACTGCAGAGTTTCTTGTTGCTAATTCCTTCTGACCACAACTTTCAAGCTGTATGGTTGTAATTATCATTTGTATAATGAATGATTGATCTGCTTCAGTGAAACTAACTCCCTTTTATCGCATTATAATGAATAAGGGCTATTGCATAACGGGAAAGTGAATTCATAGTAGACGAAAATTATTACTTCATCACTGGTGAATACTGTTTTTTTTTCTTATTTTGTCTTCTTTTTCGAGAAATTCGTAAGTTTACTACATTTTTAGAAATCAGCACGATGTTTAGTCACTTATGTAGCAAAAATCTTCTGAATTTTTCACTTTTTTTTTCTAGCCTAATTACTGGATATCTAATTATTCTTGACCTGTTTTTAACTCCTCGTCGTTTTTCCTCTCCTTTTTCTAGTACAACTTTTGTTTGCTTGTTTGTTTGTTTTCGTTCTTAATGTTTCCTGCTTCTTTATTGAAATGTAGGTAAATTAAATCTTTCAGTATAGTAAATCATCATTGAAAATAAATTCAGTTAACCAATGATTCATCAATTCAACAGGTTGTTTTCTTTCCCTATGAAATTCCAGTTTCACAGTTGTTGCCTTTTTTCCCTTTCCTTTACATCCCCACTTGAAGATAGGAAGGGTTTCAAGCTTTGAAGCTTCAGTAGAACTGGATTTGTTTTTAAGGAGTGGAGTTTCGAGCCTCAAGCCCAAGCCTCCCTCTCTCTCTCTCTTCCAGGATCAATACCGGCTAGGTGACGTTTAGGAGTGCACCAGTGGGATATTGAACTCCGCACTACATACCTGGCTGGACGGCATTCTACCTTGGAACCATTAGTGCATAAATGCAAGCTCTGTATACAGCTAAATGATCCGCTAAAGTGTATTTTGATCCTGTACTTTCAATTGTCTGGTGATAACAGGCTCCATAATCTTTTTCTTTCAATCATGCTTCAATAGGGATACTTATTTTTTAATGACCATGAATTCAGCAATTACTTCATGAAATATGTTTTTATTATCACTGTTATTTTGTTTGTATTCCCTTTCAGGTGAACATTTATTGGATGTAGAAAGTGGACGTGGTTTAAGTGCAAAAGGTATAAATCGTCCAACTGAACACTTTACAGTTATATTTAATTCATTTGTTATGATGACATTATTCAATGAAATTAATGCTAGAAAAATACATGGACAACGTAATATTTTCGCTGGTCTGATGAATAATATCCTATTTGTGATTATCTGGATATCAACATTTCTACTACAAGTAAGTTGAATGAAGAAAAAACTGATGATGATGATGATAATAATAATAATCTAATGAAATAATTGAAAGTTGTTTTACTAATCAAATACTCACTTTGCAATTTACACAGTTTCGGGTGGAATATCACCAGACGTCTTCCCTAAGAAACTGAAATGACTCAAATCACAAAATATATGGCAATCAAGAAAGAAAGCCAAACTGCATAATTCTGATAATCATGTGTTGGTTTATAGGGATCTTACTGATTGGTTACAGGACTTCATCATGAGCTGACATCAGTTAGCGAACCACTGGAAGACCAGCTGGGAGTACTGGACAGTCAGCTGTTCCGTCAGCCTAGTTTGTGACTCTTCACCGGCAAGCACCCACTGACAGGGTTCGGACCCAGGACTTTCTGGTTACAAGGCAAGCTCACAGACTAATGGTTCTCTAACCGATGTCAGCTCATGATAAAATCCTGAAACCGAACTGACTTTCGTCAGTGAACCTTTGAAAATATGGGACTCCCGCACACCAGCTCAGTTTCACCTTAAGACTCTTCAACAGTACACACCCATGATATTACCGGGTATCAAACCCAATTCCTTCAGGTTACGAGGCCAGCTGGTTGACTATCCAACCATAGTGACAGACTGTTATAGCCCATGAATTCTAACTTCTGAGGATTCGCCACATATAGTATGACGGCCAGTTGGTGTCATTGGCGAGTATCTATCCTTACACCCCTCTAGTCATGACTTCACATTGGAAATTCAGGCAACTTCATCCTGTAAGTCAGTTACAAGTGAGCATAAGTGAGCACAATTTTCAAGTGCTGATTTGCAAGGATTTGACTGGTTATTGTGAGTAGTTGAATAACACACACACACACACACACTAACCAGTACTGCTTACTACCACAATAACTATTAGTTTGCATAAAGCATACTTGATACTACTTCTAGTCTGTTACATCTACAAATGACTTTAGATCTATAAGCATTTATTATGCACAAGAAGGATAACTGAACTGACTATAATAAAGGTTTTTGTATTTCCCAATGAATGAAAAACAAAACGATACCGTTGTTTTTACTGTCGTTTCGCTATTTAATGCTAATAGCTGCTTTATCAAAGTACTATTAAACCGGAATTTACAAAATCTCAGCATATAAAATAACAAAGAGTTAAGAAGTGAGAAAATAGACTTAGGTCAGGTTAAAAAGGGGACGTATTGAAAGTTAAAATAACAATGAAGATCACTAAACCAAATAACAAAGGTAATAGTACGTCTGTTATGATATCAAAATAAAGTTTACTAACTTGATCATCGTTCGCTGGTCTGGGGTCATTTTTCGTTGTCAAGTTGGTCAATTGGTAAAGATAACAAAACCAAGTGTAAATTGTTGGATTTGATCAGTGTGTAAAACTATAAAAGCGGTGTGTGTTTACATAGTGAACTTGTTTATCACATTCGTGTTGATTTTGTCACTTCATCGTTGGGGAGGGAGGTGTTGTAACCAGGTCAGATTCTATTTTAGTCCATCATTCCTATTCAGGCAATTTGGATTCCACTTAATATGAAGTGCTTCTGAACTGAAATTAACGTGGAATAGGTATCAGGTATATTTTGTCGCCTATAATATGAACTAATGCCACTGTAACTACTGTTAAATTAATATTAGTAATAATACTTGATAAAACAAATTTTTTTTTAAACATACAAACGAAACATGATAGCTGTAAATCGCATCTGCTAGCATTTACTTTCTAACTATATCTGATTGAGGTTAATCTATAAGAATTACTTCAACCAAAAGTTCATTATGACCTAGTCTATAATTACTAGATTTTTGGCTTACTAAATATTTCAATTTATAATTAGGTTAATAAGGAGATATCTGATATATATATATATGTAGTTTTGTTTTAATTATTTTCTATTGACATTTTTAATAGGTTGTAATTATCCAATTCGGAGGATATGCATTTAGTACTTGCCCATTGGCACTAGAACATTGGCTATGGTGTTTATTTTTCGGTATCGGTACACTAATTTGGGGTCAGGTTAGTTAATTTAAATTTTCATTAAAATTTCTTTGGCCATTATAAATGATAATTATAAAAAAAATGATCAAATTTTCAGTGTTACATTCGCTAAACCTATTTGAACTCTCCGCGTGTTTTTCAGTAGTATGCTATGATTCTGAATATAAAACTTGCATCTTATCTATATGAAATAATAGAGTATATTTGTAGCTTAGGTGGATGATTTGCAATTAGTTATGTTCGCTGAGCTAGCTGGTTTAATTGCAGAATTTTAGCACGCTCTAAAACTCGCACTGAAGATGTTGTCCAGAAGGATGATGAAAGCTCCGCGATTAAACCAACCAGCTTAGAGAACACAACCAGTTGCAAATCTTATCTACATACTGATAAGATAAACTTGTAGCGGTAAATAGTTTCCCACAATTATAAGTTCGCATTATATTTTTTTAAAATTTTATTCCTTTGCGCTCCCAGAGGAACATAAGGCTTCCAGCTTAAGCTTTGATGTCTCAGTAGCAGTAGGGTTTATTTCTTACGGGAAGGGGTTGTTAGCCTCATGCCCGATTTCCTCTCTTTATCGGGCTTACTACCGGCTAATCGAGGTGTAGGAGTACGTTGGATGGGGGTCGAACTCTGGACCACTTGCTTCGTTGGCTAGTGTCCTACCATTGAACCACCGACGCTGTAAGCATACAGCTCTCATTTTATTCAACACTGGGTGCTAATCTTCACTGTTTAAGTCAACTGGCTAGACTGAAGGTATGTGGTTAAACATTTGCACTATTTGGTAATCCGTTGTGTGATGTTATGGTGTTTATGCACGCATCCTAGCTAGTGAAGCTGTCATCGTTGCTCTACATTCCTGATTATGAAATATCTCTCTCATATTTTGAACGATCAGTTTGTTGTTTTAACTTGTCTCTGGTCTCAGTAGAACGAGTACTTTGGGAGTTGCAGGATAACCACTTCAGTTTGTATATAGCATATCTTGTGTAATCGTCAACTTCCTTCGATTTTCCAGAAGTGGTCTTCAATTTCTTCGGTTTAAATTCTCCACAGACTAAAATAATGGAGATTATGTATGTTTTTATATGTTTGTATACACACGCACATGCACAGTGATTGTTCTTTAACTAAAGCTGTCTTTTACCCATTCATTTCTTCTAAAAGGTTATCATTACAATACCAATTTGGGTTATACCGAAACGCAAACGGAAGCCACTTAAAGGAAGGCGGTCAACACTTATTACAACACAAGATGCCATAGGAACAGAAACAGCTGGCCTAGTCGGTCAAGATGTCACGCATACACCAATTGCAGATGGTGGTCTAGGCCATCGAGCAAGCACAGGATTTGTTAGCAAGGCGGCTAATGCAGTAGCTCGTGGTCTAGGAGCGATATACACTCAACCAGAAGGGGAAGAAGATGAAGAGGAAGAAGAAGATGATGATGAAGAAGAGGAAGAAGATGAGGATAGGGAGGATTTAGGCAGTGCTGAACTACGCAATACAGGTCAAATATTATGGATAAGAGGTTTGTCAAGGCTACAAACACAGGTGAGTGTTATTGTGGTGATGAATGTCGTATAGTAGTCGTATAATGAAAACTATGGGAACTGACTCTCAGTTGATTCAGTTATTCAAGGAGTGAATTGTTGTTCAATTAGTTTAGTATTTAGTATTTCTTTTTAGGTTGACTTAAACACTCATCACTAGCTTGAAAAAATTTTGATCCTGGAGACATTTGAAAGAGTAAAATTGACACCTAACTACACCTACACATTAAACTTATCATCAGTGTTATGGGAACTTTCTAAAATTATTATTCATGAAGCACTTTGGTTTAGAAATATTAGTGTGTGTGAGTCTTATGTGTTACGGGTTAAAAGTTTTTTTATAGAGAATTGTACATGCCACACAGCTCTAATTTATGGTGTCTACTTTTAACCGTACTTTGCTCAACTATAATTATTCCATATAAAATCAGAGTGTAATTTATTTATGAAGTATTAAGTGAAGTGAAGAGAATCGAGACTTGTTGTCGTGTTATTATCTCTCATAATATCATAACCTCATCGACCATTAACCGTATTTACTTACACTCATACCCTACTTCATCGTATAATAGAGAAAATCAGTTACAACCCAGTAGTCATTTAAAATTCATAAAATATTTACACTTTACTACTACTACTACTACTACTACTACCACTAACTATCACGTCATTTACTTTTACTGAAAAATAAAAAACAACTAAATAATTTATTACTCAAGAGTTCATAAATAATCTCAATGATCATGTTAGTCTATTTTTGATGCGTCACTATGACTGCTTTTAACTTAGAAAAACAAAAAAATAAAATACAACAACTTCATTAGGATTTCCTCCACGTCAAATGAAAACTTCCTGCTGTAAGCATATTAAGTGGACTTGTGTGCGTGTGTGTGTGCTTGCGTATGTGTTTGTATGAGTATGTAAGCAGGTCTGAGTAGAACCAAAAGTGTTTGTGAGTACGTGAATGAGAGATTGGATGGATGTTTGTCTTCGTGTGTGTGTGTGTGTGTGTGAGTTTGCGTATATAACCATCCCTGTTGCATGCAGCACAGTTAATTTCTAATAAATAAAATAAAATACAAAGTGAAATGCACCTTACATATGTGTATATTAATTCATTCATGTAACAAACGTACTGTGACATAGTGTCAGTGTGTGTGTTTGTGTGCACCTTACGTGTATGAAATGTATCACGTCATTGTATATCTGTTTCTAAGTGTCGTTAGGTGTTGTTAAATGCATGATATAAGATACCAAGGTTAAAAAATAATAAAATAACACTTTTTTCAAAAAATTTTCTGTTAAGTTGACTTTCTATACTAATCAGGAACTTCGTTTATTCAACAACAAAAAACAACACAACTTTGGGTTATACATATAACTTCTATAAATGTATCAACACTTCATAAGTATTCCTCATTTTTAACTCCGTGTTATATATGTAAGCTTAAAACTTACTGTTAACACTTACATTTGTTATTTTTACTTTATTCTTTTGCGTCTACAGTGGAACAAAGGGCTTCAGGCTTTGAAGTTCCAGTTCCACATTTTCTTGTTTACTGGGCTTACTATCAACTAAGTGTGAGGTTTATTAGTGCATTGGTTAAGGGGTCGAACCCCAGGAGCACGTGTGGCGTGATTGGGGAGTATACTACTTCTGAGCCATCGACGTCGACATTGCATACAATTACTTACTGAAATAATCCTAATTTTACTTACTAAGTGACCAATACAAGATTATTGTTATTATTATTACTTTTTATGAATAATTATTTTTACGAGTTGATCATGTATTGATATCAGTTAGAGAACCATTGAAAACCAGCAGTAGCACTGGACAGCTGTTTCATCCTAATTTGGGAATCATCGGCATTGAATCGGGTCCCAGTGACTGGATGGTATACGAGCTCACCTTGTAACCGGAAGGTCCTGGGTTCGAACCCCAGTGGGTACGTACTGACAATGGTTCCTAAACTAGGATGAAACAGCTGTCCAGTGCTACAGTGCTGGTTTTCAATGGTTCTCTAACTGATATCAGTCCATGGTCAACTCGTAAAAACAAAACTAACTCTTACAAACCAAACTATAGGGAATAATTATTTGAAAAATTTAAAAAATAAATCATTAGAATCTCGTGGTGAAGCTTCAATGACTCGCTTGATTAGTGTTGATCAGATCAACACAATGCTGGCAAAATCCTTTGGGGTACATTAACGTGGGTGGTTCCCAAGGCCTCTTATCAGCATTATATACATCATTGAGATATGGCTCATCGGTTTAAATAGTTGACCTTCAGGCAATGAATCGCCCGTTGGAATTCCCCTTAATCTACTTCAGACTAGGAAAATGGGTAGAATCATTAACTGATACAGTAAAAATGTATCTTATATGTGTGTCTGTCTTACATGAGAAATATATGTGTTCTGAGTAACGAATTGAATTCCCCAATATGTCGTATAAATTATCACTCAGTTTTATAAACTCTAAAATTAGTGTTGTTTTATACTGAGCGTGAAACATTTTAAATGTTGTAACAGTGAAATCCCTCTTATTTAGAATATTTTATATTACTCTGTTCATTTTATTACTTATCCCAGTAGTTCAGCATGGGAATGAAATCTATGTGAACTATTATTATTAGTAGTAGTAGTAATATTCCCTTGCATTTGGAGTGGAACATGTGACTTCAGTAGTACACCACCACTTCATCCTGCTCTGTGCAGTCTTTTTCGAATGGCTGCATAATTTTCCGTAAGCTTTCATTTGCCCCTCGCATGATTTCATCCATGCCAGCCTCGGACCAACGTTCACTTCTTCGTTTCCCACCTGGGTTCTACTCGAGGGACCGCCGTGTGCGTAATGTAACTCAGTTGTCTCCTCAGTATGTGTCCAATCCATCTCTATTTCCTTCTGGTTAGTTCGTTGTCTGTCAGAGTTCCTCACTGCTTATCACTTTTGGCCAACTGATCTTCAGTGTTGAGTAAAGGCTGTGGTTAATGAAAGTCTGTAGTAACCAGTTGAAAATGCTTTCCGTGATGGGCACACAAAGTTTGTGGACTATATAGAGTTGCCGACTTATGCGAAATGCAGCAGATTTCCACGCTGACTTCAGAACAATAAAGGTGTGTAGTGCCTTTCTGATCATGACTGGCGTTGACATCCTCACCTATGCCGACTGCCTTTAGTTGAAATGGTGCTGCCTAGATAGGTGAAAGAGATGAATTCCTTCAAATTTCTCCCGTTGATAGTGATTGATGCTTGTTTTCAGGTATCTCCATCTGATAACTTGTTGGTTTTTGCCTGTAGATCTTTGAGATAGTAAGACTGTTAGTATAAATCATTCACGAAGCCGAGATCTTCCAGTGTCTTCTCACTACCCATGATCTGCTGCATGATCTAGTTCCTCGCAGTCAGGAATATCATCCGTGATAATAAGCAGTTCATTTATGTGAATAGCATACCTTTGTTTTGAAAGGTCTTCTTTTCATCAACAGACCAAAACTCATTGATATTACAGTGTAGAAAGGTCTCATCAATGCTTTGACGAGAGTTGGAGTATACAACTAGACACAATGCTGTCGTGTGTAAGCGTTCAATATTTTTCTTGATCAAAACGAACACTAAGAACTGCTGAAAAATGCTTAATATTAAATTTCACCATACAGGACATTAAATAATCTCTAAGCATATAAATGACTATTTGCAGCCTTCATTTTCTATTTAGTTAAGAAATTTAATAGTACTACTCAAGTGGTCTTAAAAATACTAACTTCGTGTTGTAAAACAATTGGAAGAAAAGTCATTTTCTCATTACAGTGGTCTGAGTGACATTTTGATTAGCTTTCAGACAGTGTTCAATTACAGAACTGTCAAGTCAAGCTAACTGAAGTGATTGACGTGGTTAATCACTTCATTCTAAAGTAAGTAAGATGAGGTACACCTCTCCTTCATATAGGTGGGGGAAAGCATATTTAATAGGCGAAAATTTCTTCTCAAAGTTACGATAAAATTCGGTACTAACTTGACGTCTACATACGCATACCCCCTGTAAAAGGATCATAGGACAAAATATCAACTTCTGAGTAGAGAGTAACAGAAGGTAGCTTTCCTTTTATGTCTATAAGAACTGAAAAGAAATGTCACCTTGTGCCATAATTTTATCCAGAAGATGCTTGTAAGTTATCATGTGATTTTAACAATTACAGCTTTGAAGAAAATAAAAGACAGATTCAGCGAAGAAAATTTTCTTTATCGACGAAATCATCTTCAGAGGCTGTACAATCGTATTTATACCTACAAAAATACATAGTGGTCTATTATTGAGTAATAGGGGGTGACATAATTGATATAATTACTCAGAAGTGGCTTTAGAAGTGAAAATTAGACATTGCCTAGGGGTCGCGCTATGTCGTGAATTGGCAGAAGTTAGAATTCAAGGGCCATTGGACCGAGTCCCAGTGGCTTAATGGTATACGAGCTCGCCTTGTATCCAGGAGGTCCTGGGTTCGAATCCCGGTGGGTGCGTACCGCCGAAGAGTCCCAAACTAGGACGAAGCAGCTGTCCAGTACTCCCAGGTTTTCCAATGGTTCTCTAACTAATGTCAGCTCATGATGAAATCCTGTAACCAATCAAATTCCTACAAACCAGCACTTGAAAATTAGAAGTTGTAAATTACGTGGTACTCAACGGCAAAAAGATAAAATTTGATAAGGTTAAAATTGCTATTAAGTGAGAATATAGGTATTTGAGTGTCAATTTAACAAGTGTGAAGAGGGTGTGAAAATATACAAAAGGAGCATATGAGAGTGATAACAGTGAATTAATTATTAAAGCAAAAGCTAACTAAAAGTGAAATTAGAATGAAAAGAAAAAATCAAAAAATATTTTATTTACAAGGAACGATTAGTGAAGAGGTTAAGACCAAGGTAGAATAAGAGACTGGACAAACTTTTTCTGTATACGGAGTTCAGGGTTGTATTGATGAATTGCTAGATCCTCCG